CCTGTAATTATGCGTCTGGGGAGGGTTCGTGTGGGGAAAGAACACTCCCTGATGACAACTGTGTGTAGTTGTCCTAGCAACATCCAGTTCCAGGGCCAGTCTGAGAGGGTTGGGTAAAATACAGCCCCAAAGCCCCCAAAAGTTGAATATTTTTTAAAACTTTAAAAGCCCTTTATCCCTTCCAGATGATTTTTGTCCCATTTTCAGATGGTCATGACGTGCTTGAGGCCCTTATTGTAGGCAGCAGATTATGGGGACAGCTATTCTAGTAATGTTGGCTGTGAAATTTTGGGAGACATTGCCTAAAAAAGTAAATGAAGTAAAGGCGGGTAACTTAACTTCTGACATTTTAGTATGCAGTTTTGTGTATTTCTCTTTCTCTGGAATGAAAAAGAAAAAGACTCAACATGCCAACAGGGACAAGCCCATAGCCACACACCCCAAAAGAAGCCATAATCACAACAGTAGGATATACATCTGTATCTGTATTATCTGGAAAAGACAATAACGCTAGTGATGGAAGAAGGCAGCAAGAAAAGAGGAAGACCAAATATGACATGGATTGACTGCCTAAAGGAAACCACAGCCTTGAGTTTACAAGACTGTTAAGTACAGGACATTTTGGAGATCACTCATTCATAGGTGGCTTGACAGCACTTTACAACAATATCTGTGCATGACTTACAGTCCATGAAAGCTTAGTAAAACATGTAAGTTGTCAGGGTATCACATGACTCTCTTGATTTTGTTGTAACACACTAACATGGCTACTGCTATCTATGGTACTTTCAAGCGTTTCCACCATTTATAATGAAAAAAGCCCTTGTTAAAAATTCCTGGGCCAACCCAATGATAGAGTGATGGATTGCACACCGCACCATAATGCCCATAGCCATGCTTCCAAACAGAATCACCCTACCAGGGGAAATATCACACTTTTCTGGCATTTATTCTCAAAGGAAATAATTCTGGTTAAAACCTCCATCATATAATAGGCACATAAAACCGACCAACCATTAAACCCCCCTCCACAATTAGGTTTATACAGCACAATGGCTATAAAGTCTCAGACGTTCCCAAGGAATAACCTCCACTTAACTCCTTCCAAGCACTCAGATGCAACTTGTGGGTTTTAGGGACAATGGCCGATCTGCTGTACTGCAGCCAAAAACACTGCTCACGAGCCGAGGTTTAATCCCAGGTAGACCGATCAAGGTTGACTCGGCCTTCTAGCCTTTGGGAGGCTGGTAAAATGAGTACCCAGCTCGCTAGGGGTGGGGGTGCAGCCCGCATAACTAACTTGTAAACCACCTAGAGAGTGCTTTAAACGCTATGGGGCAGTATCCACGTAAGCAGCATGCTTTACTTTGCTTTTGCTTTAAATGCAACTTTTTAAATTCAAATACAAACCACCATGAAAATGAGTGTGACTGTTTCAACCCCTAGCATGAACTCTGACAATAAAAAGACCTCCAGCCCCTGCTTGATTATGGCCCCTATCCTTGGAGTTTGTCCAGACCAGGGATAGGATACCTCAGACCCTGTGGCTGAGCTTGACCTTTCTGGAGTCTCCCAATCTGGCTCTCCTGGGTCCTTCCAGACTGCCTTGCCTGTGACACCATTGTTTAGTGCTGTTCCAGCTTTTGTACAGCATTGTGTTTTTCCCTCTTTCCATTCTAAAAGATTAAATGATGATTAAGGCTTAGTTTCTGGCATTTGAGAGCTTTAAGCTAAAACCTGCTGCAATTGATCACCCTACCCTTTCCTTTTTGCCCTGCAGAATGCTGCCCCCAAGAACTTATCTGAAACTGAATGCATGGTTCCCCACTGTCATTCTGCATGGATGACTCATAAACAACAATAAAACCTGAAAGCTTCATTATCACCTCATTCACTTGCCAGAGTGTATTTCTGCTTATCCTGTGTATCTTTTCTTACATTAAACTGGAAGGACCCTAGCTGTTTTTCTTTTATAATATTAATCTTATAATCTTAGAACTGCAGAGTTGGAAGGGACCCCATGGGTTTACCAGTCTTGCTGCTGTCAGGGAAGCACAAGGGGGGGTGAACTCTCAACCTCTGCTCTATAGCCAGATATCTAAACCACTGAGCGATCCAGCAATAATAATCTTAGAACTGCAGAGCTGGAAAGGACCGCATGGATCATCAAGTCCAGACTCTGTCAAAGAGTGGAGAATTGAACTCCCAACACCTAAATCACTGAGCTATCCAGCCATTCTTATGCTGGAATGTCCTGAAACTGTTGTCAGTTCTGGCTCAAACATGAACTAGCTAAGATTTGGCCCATTCAAATTCAAAAGAGATGAGAGGAGGGGGGGGGGAGAGAGAACAATGAACTATTCCCATTTCACAGAAGCAGGACTTTTTTTTCCAGAACTGGGAGATAACTATGGTGCATATGCAGCTATGCACATGGGAAATGTACGGCAGGTGCCAAGAGATGCACACAGCATGGCTACAAACCTGATGCAAGTACTTAACGGGGCTGAAACCGAGGTGGGTGTTGAGTGCTCAGTGGAGGCTTTCAACAAAAAGGCAGATTAATTACATTATGGGCAAGCAGCACTGAGCTAAAATCCAAGCAAAGCTGTTAATACCCTTAAAGGTGGGGTGGGGGACACGTGCCCGTTAACAGACTCTCTCTCTCTTCTCCTAAACTAGTGCTAGAATGGATCTGCAGCCTCCTGCATTCTAGGGCAGAATATGGGAAAGACTTTCATTTCATCTATGATGATGGTTTTCCCAGAGAGTGAAAATATACCGTGTTTCCCCGAAAATAAGACAGGGTCTTATATTAATTTTTGCTCCAAAAAACGTGTTAGGGCTTATTTTCAGGGGATGTTTTATTTTTTTAATGTACAACACTAAAGGACAGAACCTTTGCTGTCTATGGAGAACTGCCATATGAATGTGGACTCTGGAAAATCAGAGATTTAGTGGAAAACCTCTACAGATAACTGAAGCTTTCTGCTTCAGACTGCTACCTTCCTTATGAAGGAAGCCAAAAGAACAAGGAATGGAGGGACACCATCTCCTCGTGTGTTGATAATACTGTACAGTACTATGCTTAAGAAACTGAAGAGGACTGATTTCATTCTGAAGTCTCATTCTGATTTCCTACTGTCCTCTAAAAAGCATTTTGTGGCCACTGAGCATACTCAGTCCTGACTAGGTTGTTTTGAGGGTTTATCCCCTGACAGGTACCTCCCAAAGGCTGTTTTCAATTTTACAAATTTTGGGGTACTTTCAATCCTGTTCCCACAACTCATACACTGGAAAGAGAAGGAATTATGAAATGCTTGTGATATCCAGCATTTCTTTATATTAAAATTTTTCTAAAGCCTGAACAAGAAAGATAGTGAATGGTTTATGAGCCAAAAAACAAAAACAAAACCAACAACAACTCCTTAAAACTTCAGTACTACTCTTAAGACACTTATGCAAAAAAAAAAAAAAGGCTGGCTTCCAACACATATAATCAGAGGCTGAAGAAACTTATCCGAGATGCAGAGAGTCAACATGGCCAGAATCTCTTGCCCAGTGAGCATGCTGGTTGAAGGTCTCTGAGAGTTGTAATACAAGATTAAAATAATAATTATGTTCCATCAAGTCAATTTCAATTTGCAGAAACCTTTTCCAGGGTTTTCATGATACAGAATATTCAGCATTCACCTCCATTCCCTTTTTCTTGGGAGTGTCCTGGGGCTGTGAAGTTTGCCCAAGGATACACAGGCTGGCTCTTCTCCTAGGAGGCACAGTGGGGAACAGAACTCCCAACGTCGGATACTTAAGCCACTGAGCTGTCCAGCCACCTAATCCAAATCACAAGTTGCAACTGGCAGTATCATGTATGACCTGCAACACACCACACAGGACAAAGCCAAAGAAACGTAAAAGTGCATTTTAATAGAAATATAGAGATACATCTAAACAGCCGCCTAGAGTGGTCGCAAAACCAGATAGGCGGGATATAAATAGAATAAATAAATAAATAAACAGCTGACCCCAGCAAATCAGAGACTTTAGACTTTACACCGCTCGTTCATTATTCATTCTAGTGGATACCTATGTGGCAGTAATAGAGAGGCTTCCCAAAATAAGACTGGGCAGGACTGGACAGTCCCCTTGGGAGTCAAGATTCACCCGCCCACCTGCAACTCACTTCTGCCTCATGAACCCATCCCCTCCAAGGAAAAGGGCGAAACAGAAGTGTGTGCAAGACAGTGGCGGCAGTCACACACACACATCCTTGCCAGCAGCAAAGGATGGTAACTGGGAAAATGAAATACTCTCCATTTATAGTCAGCAGTACAAAGAAACTGCCAAAGTTGCTTTATTTAACCTATAGCCAAGGGGAGTCTGGTAACTGTATGCCAAGGCCGTAACTCCTCTATTCCTCCCACCAGAGTCTCATAGAGGCGATCTGAAGGCAGGTATCTTCTCATACGAGCCTTCCAAGCCCTAAAAGACCTTCAGAAGAGCCTCTTCCCTCAGTCCCTTTGCCATCACAGACATGTTCGACGGAGCCACAAGAGAGGTCCTTCCCTGTAGATGCTCCCAGGTTGTGGAATGCCTTCCCTTGGGAAGTTAGTTTGGCCCTTCCCTTTCATTCCTTCCACCAACAGCTGAAGACCCCCTCCTTCAGGAAGCTTTTAATAACCATGAGCCCTGGATGCTGTTTTTGTGTTTTTGTTTGTTTTTTTGCTCTGTTGAGATTATAAGTTTGTTTTTAAAGGTTAAATTTTTTTATTATATAATGGATTTTTAAAATTATTATTGTAGTTTTTAATCTGTAATTTACTGTGTTTTTAATATTACTTGTTTTAACATTGTAAGCCACCTTGGTTCTCTTCACTGGGAGAAAGGTGGCCCACAAATGATACAAAATAAAATAACAGGTGGAAAACACACCCGCAGGGGCAAAGAAAAAGAATTGTACTCAACCACTGGTAAATTTGTCCTTCAAGGCCATAAGATTGAGGACACAAATCCGCACACCTGTAGAAATGGAGAAGGAACAAGCAGGAAGAAAAGGAAAGCAATCCAACACAGAAGTGACACGAGATGCCAGGAAATCTTGAAGGAAGGACAAGGGAACACACATACCAAAGAAATGTGCATACACATAAGTCTGCACAGATGGCTGTGCACACAGTTCTGGTCTTTGAGTGCTCGAGCTAATGGGGATACGTGGACTTTGCACCTGGTCTCTGACAGCCACAAATGAATGAGAACACAGAAGGCCGGAAGGACTCTGTCAAGCGAAGAGACAACGGCTGCTATTCCTTGCCTCTGGCTCTCTTTCTCTCTTACTGTCTCCGACATCAGCTGTTCGAAAACATGTTAGTGTGGAAAAGTTATTTTTCTGGACTACAACTCCCAGAAAACACCCCCTCTCCAGTACAGCCACGCTGTCTTGGGTATTCTGGGAGCTGATGTCTATAAAAATGCCTTTTCTAAGCTCTGAGTGTTTTTGAGACTAGATTTCCAGGGACAGGGTTAAAAAACAAAGAGGTGGTGGTGTTTGAAAGGGAGGAGGGTCAAGGGTGACTAATGCCAGCCTCAAGACGTCTTGCTAACTGAAACACGGCTGGAAATGTCCCCCCACCCGCCAGGTGTATGGTGCCCAAGGACAACCAAGTTATTTTAGCACTTGAGACATTAAATTACACACCCACACACCCCTTTTGCCTGTTCTGGAAGTCAAGATAAAACAGGTTCGATCCATGTTTAGAGCAGACCTGTTTCTCACCACTGGACTAATCTAAATCTGGATCCAGGTCAGCTAGAAGGAATGCACAGCTAACAATTTGCCACGACACCCAAATATGTCCCTGGCGGAGCTGCCTCACGATGCTTCATGCCAGCCTCGGTGGGGGGGTGGGGCAGGGCCCTAGAGACCTGTGCCAGTGGAGGACTCCACCTGGTAATTTTAGGGTGCGTCTATACGAGAGGGAACACCTTTCATGCAACCTGGCTTCTCTGAGCAGGGCAGAGGTGAGCTCCCAGCCTCCTGCCTCCTCCATACAGCGGCCCAGGCTGCCCCTGCCATCAAGAAGCCCCAAAGACAGTTGCTAAGTGTTGAGCCTGATCCAGTTTTCTGGAAGGGACCTGTGCTGGGCCATCAGTCTGTGGTATACCAGAGAGTAAGGGAGGGATGCCTCCTCACGGCTTCCATGCTAAGCAAACGACATCACGGCCACCAGAGGCACAAATGTCAGCAGAAGGCTCCAGAGACTGGGCTGGAGAAGGAAAGCGGCTCCACGCAGGGTCTCTTTATTACTTTCATCCATATCGGAAGCTCTCCCATTGCCTGCTGGCTGAGCCCGTGAGCTGCACAGATCATGCAGGTTCCCTTGGAACTGGATCTTCCGGGATTCTTGACGAAGTGATTCCCAGATGCTGGCAGCTTCCTCAGGGCAGCTGGATAAGACCTGGGTAGCACAGATATGGAAGTCATCCCAGGACCTGCAAAGAAGGGAACACTGGAATTAGGGCAAAGCGAAACTCTCACTTCATCAGCGCAGAGGGTGTGGAACTTGACCAAAAAAACACACAAACTTTTTAAAAAAGGATTAAAATATTCAGTATCACATTGTGGCAATTTTGGCAGATGTAATCTGTAAAAGTAATTTTTTTTCATACTCAGTAATAGTTCTTTGTTTACTTCAGAAATGAGAAAATCTTGGCCCACCTTTTTTGAAAACCCCAGCCAACATAGCCAAGAGTATGGGATTATAAATGCTGTAATCTGCAATATCTGAAATGCCATCCTTGAATTAAGAAGAAGAAGAAAAGGAGGAGGAGGAGGAGAAATAGTGATGTGGACAAATTATATTTACCACAAAAATTGGGAGGCTGTGGAATTAGAAAAACTAAAAAAAATACAGAGATTTGGCAATCGAAACATCTTGCTTGCGGATGAAACACACTTCAGTGGTCCCCGTAATCATTAGGGCTTTGGGAACAATATCAAGAAATTTCACACAGTATTATATGCAGTTGCAGATGTCAGAAACCACACCATCAGAGCTACAAAAATTAGCAATATTAGGAACAGCATACATACTGCTCCAATATTTAACAGATAGATTTTGATTAAAATTTGTATATGTTATATAATACCAGTCAATATTTTTATAATTTTGATTGACTGTGTCTGGTGTTATTAAATAAGAATAATAATAACTGAAAAATCACTAGATATAATTGAGCCCTTATTTATAATATTGATTGAATGTGCCTGGTGTTTTTTTAATGATGATTGTCATCCCCTCCATGGGCACAGGACATGTTGAGGCAGAGGGGCTTGCGTGCTTCAGTGAGGTTGAGAGCTACGCTGAAGGGTCTCCCAAGCCAGACAAGTCTCAGCTGAGAAGCTAGATCAACTGTGTCCACCAACCATCAATTATGATGAGAGGAAACAAATGGAAATCCATACTGGATCGGTCGTTGCCCGAGTCAACAAGGACTGCGTCAGATGCTATAGCCCCTGGACATCTGGTGACAAATGGACTACAGGGCTCAGCAGACACTGTTGAGCGACCACGACAGGTTGCTGCAAAGCTACTGGAACAACATAAATACAAAACTTGGACTCTCGCCGAAAACCAAAAAGTTCTGAAATGTTATTACAATGCAAACCAACAGCCACTGGTTTTAAAAAAACCAAGAAGTTCTGAAATGTTATTACAAGGCAAACCAACAGCCACTGGTTTTAAAAAAATAATGATGGAAATTTGGAAAAGGAAACACCTAAGTAGTGACATGACTGAACAATGATTAATGGACTAGAGAAGGTTTATCATCCGGAGTAAAGTGTTTTTAGAACTGCAATTGTAACTAGAAAAGGTGGCAAAATCAACAATGACGATAATATGGAAGACAAATGGAAACATATCAACAGAGGAACATCTTATGGAACAAACCAGAAATCATGAATTGACAGAATGGCAAACATCACTGAAGGAAAAAATAGTAGCCCATATTCTCCAGAACACAGAAAGACAAAGGATTTCCAACTTGCACCAATTACAAAGTAAACCACTAAAACCCAACTTGCACCAATTACAAAGTAAACCAGTAAAAGATAATGATAATGATAATGACAATGCTGCTGCTGCTGCTGCTGATGATGACAACAACAACAACAACAACAACAACAACAACAACAACAACAACAACAACAACAACAACAACAACAACATTATATTGTCATCAGAACAATCCAAACCAACACGCTAAAGGGAACAAACCAGCTCATGTATAGCACAGATACCAATAATAACCACAGAACTTGGTTACAAGCTGCAAAATCCCCAGAAAACTCATGGCACACCAAAATAGAAAATTTGGCTGGAAAGAAAAATAAACAAATTACATGCAGACATTAGCAATTTAAAACACTTGAAATATTCAAAACTTAAAAATGAAAAAGTAAAAGCCAGACTGTGCAAAATATATGACCTAGAGGGGAAAACAATTGTTAAAACCATGGAAGAATTAAAATAGCAGGTAACAGTTACAGCAAATAAAACTGAAAGATATAATGGATGCTTGAAACAATATAGAGAAAACATGACATTTTGAAATAGCCAACAATTATTTTATACATGACTAGGAGAAAATGCAGAGCAAAAGAAATTAGGCCCATGTAAAGATGATGTTCTAAAATTTTGGAAAGAAATGTGGGAAAGCCCAACTGCCATAAAAATGCCTCATGGATTAAAGACATTTGTAAAGGAACTCAAGGATAACAAATGGATGATATTGTAATAATAACTGAAATGATTAAGAGACAAGCAAAGGCTGTGAAAAATTGGAGTGTACCTGGTCCAGATAAGCTGCACGGGTTTTGGTTAAAGTATCTAAATTCTCTATCAACGTATAGCAGTGCAATTTAACCACTTACTTCAAAATTCTACAAGTGAAGACCGGACGACAACATGCTGCTCATTTCTGATAATAAAAGATCATCAGAAGGGCAATTAGTCCAGTAATTATGGACCAATTATATGTCTTCCAACCATGTTCAAGCTCCTCACAGGAGTACTGGCAAGATTACTTAACTGAAAGCTCCCTATACCCAACTGAACCATGGGCCTTTAAGACAGTTTTCCATTTTCCCATGTTTTTCTTGAGGAACTTCTGAATGTTTTTACTAATCCCAAACATTTTTAGACAGGTGTTAATCCAGCTGAGTGGCAATGAGTCAAATACCTTTTTATAGTCTATGCAGGCCATGTTAAGGTTTGTTTTTTGTGTTTTTGCACTCTTCAGTATCATTTTATGAATAAGCACCTGATCTTTCGTGCCTCCCTTCCTAGCAGTCCTTCTTCCAGGAAACTTAGCTCATGGTCCCAAAAACCACATCCCTCTCATCAACACCACCTTTGTAGCCAGTTATTCACCCAGAGGATCTTATTTTCTCTTTTGATTCCACTTCCAATAGGATGGATGAAAAAACTATCTGGACCTCAAAGTCCTTGACTTTCCTTCCCAGAGCTTCAAAGTCAGACGTGCTTTTTCAGTAGCTCCTCTTGGCTGCGTCATTTGTTCCCACGTAGACAAGAAGAAAGGGATATGTATCTGTAGGTTTTATGAGTGAAAGCATGATCATAATTCAACATGGGCATGGCTAAAACTGGGGACCCTCAAGCAAATAAACGGAAGGCTTGATTTTTCCTGCACAAGAACAAGCACTCCAAACCAACATCATGAAAGCTAAGATCCAATGTGGACTCGGCCAAGAAAAAGATGAAACTGTGTCACACCTCCTAACAGCAAAGGTCGACTTGGCCAAGAAAAAGATGAAACTGTGTCACACCTCATCTGTGAATGTCCAAAGATTGCACAGATTACAAAGTTAGACATGATAAAAGTGGCAAAGTTAGTGCACTGGTCGTTATGCAAAAAATATAACTTGCCACTGTCCAAAAACCCATGAGAACATCAGGTAGAGAAGGCGTCTGAAAATGAGGAAGTCAAGTTCTTGTGGGATTTCCAGATTCAAACTGGTAGACACCTTGAACATCACACACCAGACAAAGTAGTAATTGAACAAAGAAAGGTCTGGATCATTGCCATTGCAGTTCCAGGGGATGCCAGAGTTGGGGAAAAAAAAAGAATTGGAAAAACTAGCAGAGACCTGGCCATCGAAACATCTTGCCTGTAGAAGAAACACACTTCAGTAGTCCCCGTAGTCATTAGGGCTTTGGGAACAATATGAAGAAATTTCGCAGTATTCCAAGCAGTTGCAGATCTCAGCAATAACACCACAACAGCTACAAAAAACTGCAGTACTAGGAACAACATACATACTACACTGGTATTTAACAGATACTTAGGTTTTGGTTAAAACCTATACCTGTTGTATGATACCAGTCAATTTTTTAATCTTGATTGACTGTGCCTGGTGTGTAGTAGTAGTAGTAGTAGCCACCCATTATAAACAATAAAGGTTGATTAATTTGACCTATGGTTATCCAGCCATGTGCACCAACCAAGCTCAACTCCAGCTAATGGTGACCCTCTCCAGGTATTTCTAGGTATCGAGTACTAAGATGAGGTTCATGTGTATGACTACATTTGAAGCAGGTTTTTTTCAAAGCAAAACCCAATACACAAGCGGTTTGTATTGTAAAGGAGATCGGGCCCTGCGACTACTGGACTGGCTCCCTTTAAGCCTGAGCTTGAGAGTTTCAGGTTGAAATTTTCACTGAGCCATGAAACATACTGGGTCAATAACCTGTAGCTTTACCTTACCTCACAGGGTTGTTATGAAGATAAAGTAGCAGGAGGCCCCTGTATACAGTCTTGAGGTCATGAAGAAAATCAGAATATAACCAAGAAATAAATACCCTTTCCCCAGTTTGGACCTGTGTCTCTATCTCCATGTCCGTCTTGTCCATCCAAGAGCAATAAGGGCTCCTGTGGCACTGTGAAGTCTAATAAACATATTATACTGAAGTTCATACCAGCCTAATAATAATAATAATAATAATAATAATAATAATAATAATAATAATAATAATAATAATAATAATAATAATAATAATAATAATAATAATAATAATAATAATAATAATAATAATAATAATAATAATAATAATAATAATAATAATAATAATAATAATAATAATAATAATAATAATAATAATAATAATAATAATAATAATAATAATAATAATAATAATAATAATAATAATAATAATAATAATAATAATAATAATAATAATAATAATAATAATAATAATAATAATAATAATAATAATAATAATAATAATAATAATAATAATAATATGTCCTAGCATACAAGATGCTATAGGACTCTTTCGATATTTCTGCTACTCACAGAACAGACTCACACATTTAGAATCAGTTTTTCCTTCGGAAGTTTCTCCTCCGTGTAGCAATTTTGAAAAGGTTTTTTTTGGCAGCTCTGAGGCCAACGGGCATTCATAGCAGAAAGTACTCTGGGTTCTTAGTGCATCACTTAAACATTTTAAAGCTATGTTCTTAACTGTTCAGAATGGAACACAGACAACTAAAAATATGTTCTGCTTAACCGCCAGCAGGAGATTAGAACTGATGAAACATAGCCCAGGGTGACCATTAGCCTTTCAAAAGACTTTTTTTGTGCCTGCTCCCTATTGCCATCCCTTCCTCTGGCTATTAAGACCACCAAATTGTCTGCCAAAATCTCATTGTAGGGTGTTTTTGGAAGACTCTGCTCTGCAGTCTCATGGGGCTGAATGGTACAGGAGGATCCTTTCATATTATCATGCATCAGAGACCCGCTGTCATTGGCATTAAATGTTATCACTAATGCTGGTGACAAATTTGGCATCTACTGCCAGAAGATTGGATAGCAGTGGCCTCTGGTGGGTTCTAAGGTTCCAGTGCCCCCCCCCCAAAACCATGAAACATTTTCCCAGTCTTCAGACTAGGTTAGTACAAAATAGAAGTCTGAGACTTTTTATTTTTACCTTCATAGCTACCTGTCTGGATGATTACCTACATTTTTCCTCTGTCTTTGGGAATGATGAAGGGTTAACCTCAGGTGGGACTATCTGGAGGCCCCAGATTCACTCTCAGGCCTTCAGTTACAAATGATACAATTACAGTGCTAACGGTTATTGGCCATATTAGCCAGGGTGTCCTGGGAGTTTCAGTCCACAAAATCAGACTAGGCAAGACTGGCCTCAGGTGGGCAAACAATCTGGCATACCAACAGTTGGAAAAGTGACCTTGTTGAGCTATAACGTCCCGAACTCCCCAGCCAGAACGGTGGGAATTCTGGAATTTGTAGTCCAAACATAACATTTTCAAGCTCTGGTCTAAGGCAGTTTCCCGCGGCCCTTTGGGGTACCTGAGTCATACCTACAAGTGACTGGAGGAACAAATCTTACACTCACTTGCAAATGGTATCCAGCTCCTGTTGCTGCTGCAGATTGCCGTCGTCATCCCCTTGCTGTTGTTGCTGAACGGTCTGAGCCATGCTGTCCCCAAGATTGATCAGGCACTCAGCAAACCCCTTGTAGATCGTGTTGCACTTTCTACCAGCTGCACTCAATGGCCCCTCGGACAGCACTGCAAATGGGTGGAAACGGTGACACTCAGTTTGGGATCATCTCCAGGGTCAGGAAGGAACTCTAGTAAAATGGTTAGAACCCAGTTTGGAAAATGTTTTGAACAATCCACATGCCATAAGGGCCACTCAGTTTCTCAGCTCTGGCAGAGTGCTTGGCTAGAGAGCAGGGCTCACATCCATACGTACTTAGTAACAAAAACCCAGCAGTTGACCATCATCCTCTCACAGCCAAATCTATCCCATAGAGTTATTTCAGAGTTAAAATAGTATCTGGAGAACTATGTGGTCCATCTCCTCAGAGGATGGCATACATGTGGGGTTGTACTGTTTCATGTTCTTAGGCTGCAATTCCCAGAATTCTCCAAGAATTCCAGAATTGCAGCCTACAAACTCAAATCTTCACACCTGTAGGTTTTACACACCCCTCTCTCCGGGCTTTTGAGTTAGTGTACTTGCACCATCAGGTTTTCCAGCCTTTATTGCCTGATAATTTGTTTAAAAAGGAAAGGTGCTGAGGTACTTGTTGGGAGTCATCGTTCTTTGGGAGGGTGACTTTATAGAGCCTAATGGGAAGCAAGACTAAGACTCCCAGGAAGCATTAAAGGAACTTTCTTCTCTTTCAAATCAACAACCGGGGCCTATGGTCAGTTATTGGAGGGTCTTTGTCATCTCCTTTTGCAAGCTTTACCGTGAAGGGAGTGCAGTACTTTTCCAGAGCAAGCTAGAAAAGGACAGTAAGGTTGATTTTTCATTCCTGCTGGGCAGAGTGCTGAAAAGCAGGACATGAAGAGTGCAATATCCTAAGAATCTCATATGGAAAGAAATTCATACTTAAGATATTCTAGCAGATTTTGGAGCAGTAAGCCAGAACATGCTGTGACACCTGAGATGCCAGAGAGTAAAAGAAACTGACCTGGTTTCCCAGTAATCAGAGATGAAGTTCATTGTTCATCCACAACTGTCAGGAAATAATGTCCCCATGCTTTGCAACATATATGTAAGACACAGAATACAGTTGCACTTCATGAAAAACTGGGTATTGTTTTTGTTGACTGACAGTAGTTCTAAATGATGGGAGAGGAAAGAATAACTAATAAGGGGGTCTAATAATTGTGTGAGGCTACCACCTTGCAAATAATTCCACACGTGTTACTAGTCCAGTAGAATTTCATTATGCAACTTGCCTACCTACACGGCTTGTGTCAATAATTTGTGGCATGTTGCAGTCCAAAAGGAAAACATGTACAGACTCCTTTCACCACTCTCTCGTAGGCGCACTGCAGCCACAGCAACAAAGATTTTTCCCCCTCAAGCAGCCTTACTGCTTTTAGCACTAACTACTTAGTATTAAAGTATTTCGTATTACTTAGTATGCGTGAACCTTGTATCACATGCTTTCTTCCTTTGGCTAGCCCATCTAGTATCAGAACTGAAACACTGAAAAAGAGCTTTAGGATTATAATTGTTTTCACAACCAAGATGGAATATAACTGTGTCATGTTCTGGCTTTGTGGGGGTGGATGGACATTGCTAATCCCTGTCTTGCATCCACTGAGCAGGAATTTCATGGCTTACTATATAAATGGTTTTAAAAAATCAAAAACTAGACAGTTATGCAGCTTCAGGAACTGCTGCACCAAGAAAAAGGCTAGGATCCTCCCCCCCCCCACACACACAGTTGTATCGTTCTTTGGAGCAGAGAGCTGGACTTCATGGTCTCTCTGTGCGGAGGGATATTACAGCCACTTGTAATTTCCCGTGATCAGTTCAGCAACAGGAGAACAGAGCTCAGGGGCAGAACACAGATTCAGCTAAGAAAAAATATGCAGAGTTTCACCCCACTGCTGGGCAGAGAAGTACCGGTATGTGGCTTTCGAGATGCTGTTGGATGTAAATTACCACCATTCCTTATCATTGGCTCTACGGGTTAAACTGATGGGAGTTGTTGTTCAATAACAGATCCATATATTCCCTGCTGCTAACTTAATGGCTATGTTGGACATGAACAGGCAGATCTCCTTATCAACGTCCCTATATCTAGATGACAGCCCCCTTTCGCACAAGGATGGGGGGAATCTCACTCAGTACATAGGCTGAATTCAAATTCAGAAAAATATTTGTGTACTGCGTTTTATTGGTGAGCAAAGCCAAAGGGTAAGACCAAAATTACCTGCATATTTAACCTAAAGCTCTTATTGCCTCTCAGGGCCTTCTCAGATACTTAATCTGAGTTGCACACTGATCTTATTGGAAGTTTCCCTAATATCCAGATGATGTTGCGCTATCTTGCTTTGTCTTATTTTTTGCAATGTTTTCCCCCTGGGTCCCTGCACATTTTTCTCCTTCCTCAGATCACAGTTTTATTATTCGTGCTTGCTTGTATCAAGGGTGAAGTGTCGTGCTATCGCACTTACCAACCATTACAATGCTAATGTACACAAAAAGCAACAGTCAAGAAAAGCACACAGCAGCAACTAAAACAAACACAATGCTTTCAAGATCCTAGAATAAATAAGACGTTTCTCTGGTTCCCCTTCTCCATCCCTTGCAAAACTGTTGTGTGTTTTTTTAAATAAGCCTCAGCACAATATCCAGTTATCCAACTGGAGTGACTGGAATAAGAAGAGTAAAAACGTGGGGAAAGTCAGGGAGGGAGGAAGAAAAAATAGGAGGATTGTACAGCAGATTGAGATCTCCATAATTTGCCAGCAACCTGATTTAACCCAGAAAATCTTTAAACGGTCCTATTTATTGACTCCCAAGGCCCTTAGAACAGTTTGGAGAGGAGTCTGGGTCTACTTCATAATCTCCTGTTACGAAGTGACAAAAGAGAAAGTAAAAAACAAAGGAGAACAAATACTGAGTCTTCCCTACCTCATGCTTTAACATCCAGCCAGGCTGCGCAGTGAACGATGGAAAACTACCTTAACTGAGGAAGCTCACCCTCCTCTAGGGCTGACATGTACAGAAAGCAGATCTGGTTCTAACAGGGGATCCGCACGGAGCTGGCAGTGACCTCTGACACCCAGTAATTCTACAACAGAAGCTACAAAACCCTAGGATTTTGTGTGTGTTTGTTTTGTCCTCCTGGTTACCCTAAGTTACCTCAAGCAGCATGATGTAAAGCAGGAGATAGGACACAACTAACATAAAGGACAAGCTGGGAAGTGGCATCTGACCCCCCTCCCCAACCTCCCAGTTGATGCCATGTGCAAAAAGTCAGGACACAGCTAACATAAAGGACAAGCTGGTAAGTGGCCTCTGCCCCCCCCACCTCCCAGTTGATGCCATGTGCAAAAAGTAAGTACCGTAGAACTGCCAGCACCTCTGCATCTTATTTCAATATTAATGCTGGAATAGCATCCTCCACTGCCTGAGGCTAGCAGGGAGGAGCTTAGGGGTTACACAGAGTAGCTCTAGACGTCCTGCACCGTTCAGTTGCTCTTGCCTGAGAGACTGCCTTTGGCTTATCCAATGGTAGGGCTGGGTTTTGCAAGAGAGGGAATTGTTCTGATGGTCCTATTGTTGAATTTACTAGGAGTCAGAAATCTTTGCCATTTATTTCCATTTAAATTAAGTGAAGCTTAAAGTGCAGCCCCAAGAAGCTATTTTTTTCCATCTCTGAAAGACACTCTCAAATAACCAAAATTGTTAAGGACAGAACTGGAAGATATGCACCTACTCAGCGAGTCTGACTCTTCCCTTTGGGCTCCTGAACCCTCTCGGTTTCAGAGGAGTGGACTAAGGTTTGGCCAGGGCGCTGGAACTCAGTCGGGCGCTGCAGAATCAACTGCCCCTTCAGCGTTCCTCACCTCAGGCCAGGTGGGTCAGGGACTCTCTGACTCTGTAGAGCAGCTTATAAGGACGCTCCATGGCCCAGTTCTTTTTTGTTGAAGAACTCTGTGTAGCTAAAGAAGCCTCCATGCCCCACTCTCAATGAGATTTTATAATAAAAATATATCTGGGATCCCAGAATGGATACTGTCCCAAAGATATTCAACTGTCTGCCTTAGATAGGCCTTCAAATTCTGCTGTGAGAGAAACATGCAGTGGAACCTGATGTGTTGTCCTCTTGGGCAGAACACATTTAATTAAATGAATATAATTAACAGTCAGGAGAACTCTGTCCATCTTATATGCTGTCATATGTCATCAGGGCATTTCCTATTCCCCCTCCCCCAAGATCTATAAGATGTTCAAGGACTGGGTGTTTTACCCCTTGTCCCTTTCTAGTGGCATTTCCATGGCTGGCTGGTGATTTGAAAACAGCCCTTCTGAGTCCTGCTCTGACACTCCACTCACTACATGACACTAGTTCACATCTTCAAAAGTCATGTGCAGCTCATTTTATTAGCTGCTCTTTGTTGCAATCTATGGGTTCAGTCCCACTGACAAAATAAACCTGCTGTTGTGCCGGATGCTCCTTTTTACAACAACATTTCAGTTGTCCTGTACACACGAGGTATGTGCTCGCATAGAGCACTGTTACAGAGCAACAAGTTTTTATTTTGGGGCAGACGTGGAATCGATTCATTGGCATCAATTCCGCCTATGTAAACGCTCCATCCACTTTTTTAAAAAAAAAATTCTGCTCAAGAGAACACGAGAATTTTTTTTAAAAGCATCGGGTTTGCAGAAAAACCCTGTGCCTGCCCAGCCATCCTCCCTTGCTCACTTGCCCCCCCACCCACTCAACTGCCAAATTATCCCTTCACCTGCCCAGCTGCCCTGTTGCTTGCTGGTCCCCCTGCCTGCCTGCCCAATCACCCCTTTGCCTGCCCGGTCAGCCCCTCACTTATTTGTCCTGCTCACCCGCCCGCCCATCCTTCTGTTTGCCTGCCCTCCCCAACCTCACCCCTCGCCCCCTTCCCTCTTATCTTCTCCCCCTCCCTTTCTGTTCTCCCCACTGACACCCCCCCCATCAGACCCACCTGATAGGAGACAGAGATGTTGGCAGTAGTAGTGGCGGCGCAGGGAGACCAAGTGTTTAGAAATATTT